GGTGGTGGGGGGGGGAGGGAGTTTCCTTTTAATTAAAAACAAACTCTCCCGCGCGCCCGCGCGCTCGCCCTGCGTTCGCCCCTCTCTCCGCCTTCCCCCGGCTGCCGGGGGCGCCGGATGGTCCCTGGGACTCTCGGGAAAAAGCCGGGCCGTTGCCGAAGCCTCCCCTCCTTTGCGCACTGGGCAGAGCCTGGGCTGGCGCGGCCCCATCTCCCTTCGGTTGGGGTTACCAAAACATTTGTTTCTCTTTAAAAGGGAACATCAATATTAATAAACAGTTGGCCTCCGCCTCGCGTTTCCTGCTTTCGTCCTCACAGAAATCCTCTTTGGGGAGCCGTTGGCGGTCTCTCAACCCCAGGACCAGCAGCTGTGCCCTCCCTGGGTAAAACACCCAGAGCGCGTCTGGCTCGTGAATGTTTCAGGGCCCTGGGAGGGGCTGCCTCCCGATCGCCCGGATGGATCTCTGGGGTGATTGTGGCTTGGATGACCCGCCCGGGGAATAGCGACCGACGTTGGCGCCTGGGGACGATGTTAATGGGCCTCGTACCTGAGGGCACAGTGTTTCGATCACAGACAGCATCCTTGAGTAATTTGTCTCGAATTTCCCAGCTGAACATGCCCGGGTTCTCTCTTTTGTATTCCTCAATTTTCTTCTCCACGTCAGGCGTTGTCACCTGCTTTAAGAGAACAGGCAGGCAGGCGTTGGTACCCAGGACTCTGGGCCAAATGTGGTGGCCCCATCGCCTCCAGGCCCGGTGGGATGCTCCTTCCTGAATCCCCTGGGAAGGTCCCCCTTGTTAGCAAAAGGACCTCATTGTCTGGAGCAATTTACTTTTAGGAAGGGGTAGAAATGAGATCACCTCACCCCTGTCGACCCTGTTCCTCCCTAGGTAAGCTTGGGCACTTAGGATAAATTAAGAAGACTTATAACATCGTGGGGGAGAGGGGTTTACTTTCTGATCCCTGAAAATAAAGTCAACTTCTTACACAGAAACATGAAAACGAAACTAAAAAGGGGAATGTCTGAAGGAGAAGCAGGAAAATCAAGTTACAGCTACAACTCGCACCTCTCCAAAAATAAGCACAAGATTTTAGCTACCCTCAAGAGCAGAATGCAGTGTAAAAGGTGATTATATGGGTTTTTAAAAATCAGAGTGGATAAACAAATACGGATAATTCGAAACACTGGGTCTTTTTTTTTTCTCTCTCTCTCAATAAAAGTTGTTTCTAGAGATTCTCGGAGAGGTTGGAAAGGGAGCTAGGAGCGGGAGGAAGGAGGGTGTTTGGAAGTCTTCCGTTTGCCAGAATCCTCCTTTCGATTTTGCCCCGTGGCAAATAGAAAGTTATATTGGATTTTCCCCACATCCAGAAGAAAAGGCAGACCCACTGCAATCCCCTCCCACTGAGTCTTAGCCAGTGTGACTCCTTCATTTTTTAAAAGGAACCAAAATAATTTGAGGATAGTACCAAACTGCTTTTTAAATGCCAAGTAATCTGCCCATTACAAAGGAAACAAATCACCCTAGCTTTTGACTCCCTGAAGACAATTTGGACTGGAGGAGATTGGGGACAGAAGGTGGGAGAGAAACCATTTAGAAAACCAAAAGTGGCTCTTTAGATCTGGCAAAAGTGGGTCGGAGCTGGGAAGATTCTTGGGAAACCAGCAACAGGTGGGCACGCACAGTTGCATGCTTCATGTGTTTGCCTATTGAAATAATTTGATGAGTATTCTAGGGTTCCGGGACATTCTTAAAAATGCTGTATCTCCTTTGCAAAAAGGCTGGAGTTTTCCCTTAGTGTTTATCAAGGAGCAGCGCCCAGGCAGCAACCTTGTTCTCCACCCCCCCACCCCACCCGCACACACACCTCTTTCTAGTCTTGAAAAATAACTCCTTGGAAAGCCCCAGATGAGCATCCTTGCCCCCTGCCCCGATCCTCCCTAACCGGGGAGACCACAGGCCTGGAGGCCTCCGGGGCCAGGCCCCAGCACTCACCTTGGGTTTGCTGCCACCAATGGCACCGGGACGGATGGAGCCGGTCTCCTGGTACCTGCACAGGATCTTAGAGACGCAGCCGTGGGACACGCGCAACTGGCGGGAGATGACGCAGGGCCGGATTCCATGGTGGGCCATCTCCACGATCTTGTGGCGGATGTGGTTGGGTAGTGGCCTGCCGTTGATAAATACACCACCGAGCTGGTTGACGCGGCCCTGGCCGAGGGGAGTGGACACTGGGAGCGGAAGGCGAAAAGAGAGGCAAAGGAAAAGTCACTTCTGGAGAACAGAGAGCAGCCGGGAAGATGAGCCCACCTAATTCCTGACGCTTGGGGACCATCCGCGTGTTACAGCCACAGCTGAAAATGCAAGACAGCCGGCTCCCAGCCCCAGCCCCTCTTCCAATCACATCTGTTCAAAGTATTAAGCAATTCGGGGGCACATAATCTTGTGTGAAGGGGGAGCAATGACAGCAAACTAACTTGCCCCAGAGAAACTGTCTTCCTTTTGGGCCCGGAGAAAGTGGCATCTTTGGAAGGGAAGACCCTCGGGCCAGTATCTTGAAGCTTGCTCGAGAAACAGCCTCCAGGCAGAGAGAAGGTTACCCAGACGCTGGCCTCCTGAACTCCACTCCTCCGAAACCCCGTTCAATTGGAACCACTCCTTTTCTAAGGGACTCAGAGGAGCTGACAGCCCTTGGGGTTTCTGACTGAGAGTGCAGCAGCCAAAGGTCAAAGAGGGTCCCCAAAGGAGGCCTCAGGTGGTAGCGAGTCACCTGTTACACCTGGGGACCCAGACGACAGCAGGGTCTGCAGGCAGCCCCCTTCACCTCCATCCATGCTCTAGGTATGACATTCTACTCCAGACCCAGCCTGAAGGGGGGACGCCTCTGCATCAGCTTCCCGCTCTTGCTGCCCCAACCTCTTCGACTATCCAAAGTCTTCCTGCCTTGGGATTCCCTTCTGGATGACTGCAAGGCAGTTCCCCCAAAAGGGTTTATGGAAACTTCGAGATGCCACTTGAGATGAATGGAACTCTAATTAATTAATCGGTTAATACTAAAAATTCCAAGCACGAAGCCACCGGGCTCCTGCCACTGCACTTTGCGGCCGGCGAGAAAATTCTTTCGGAACTAACAAGAGCTTAGCAAATGTCCGCGCAGCCGCGACAATTTTGAAAGGCCCTGGGGTGGGCAAAGTGCGGAGATGGTGCTTTCTGGCGCTCAGAAGCCGGTCCATCCCTTCCCCGCCGCCGCCGCCGCACTTGCAAAACAGCAGAGGAAAGTGGACCGGCCCGGAGCAGGCCCGGCCGCCGAGCTTCGCGAGGGTTTGCAGAAAGAACTGCGCTCTGTTTGCAGGGAGAAAATCGAGCGGAGATCTCTCCCCGACTGGTTAGCTCGGGGGGGGGGGG